CTGTTGCTCTTGGTATGATATCCTGACCTATGCACCTATTGTAACCAATGTGATGGATCTCCTGCTCTTACTGCGTTTGGCCTGCTGTCTGCCATTCTCTTTCGATTCAACTATCCGACCCTTCTGCAGGGACTGTTCTCAAAAAGTTGCCTGATCTGTGAGATCTGTGGAGGCAGAATTTATCACCCTAACTAAAACTCCTCACAGTCCCCCATTCTGTGCAATCACTGGTCATACTGGCTTGCAGAGTCAAGAAATCCAAAAAAGTAACCTTTCCTAAGCTCTGGTAACACATGTATTCATTAAATTAAGAACATGCACAAGATACATGTTCAGCATGCAAACTGGGTTACAAATGAAATCAAGAGAGGAAGAAAAAACAAATGGCTAAACCAATCTTTCTTGCACTGAAATATATTTGTCTGTGAAATGGATGCTGTCCAACAGGTCAATGAAGAAATAAGATAGCTAGCATAAGAATCTGTTCACCATGTTGTAGGTGGTGCTTTTGAAACAGCAGTATATAAATGCAGACTCTGGGGAAAGTAAGTATTTTACATAGGCAGGAAAAGTCCATGCAAGAGATCATCATAGGTGTAATTTTTTACACAAAGATGTAGACATTCCAGAATTTTGTAGTATACGAAGAGTCGGGAGTTTGATTTATGCTCCATCATCCAGTTGAAGGCTTATTTCAGGATTCAGAAGAAAAAAACAGGGAAAAAAAGTAAAGCGTGGAGACTGGCACAGTTAAACAGTCCCAAATGAGAAATTTATTAAGATGAATCTAACATATGGGGCATTTTGCCACCTCCGCCCCTTGCAAAGCTGTAATATTTTCAGCAAGCAGTTCTCCCTGGATCCCTTGATGACTCATTATACTCTCCTGTCACATTTAACTTAAAGCGTATTCAGGTCTTGAAGCATACCTCATTTCTGCTAGCTCTTTTGCCTCACAGGCTACACATGCTGAGCTGTAGCTGAAAGTTAAGACATATTTTGGCAACAGTTAGGATTGCCAGGGATTTGAGTAACCTTGGAACAAGTCCACGGAAAACCTCTGGGTGATGTTGGAATGGGACTGTAGGTGCCAAACACAATAATGAGGGGCCCTTTAATTTTCCCTTCACTCTCTTCTTTGCCAAGAGAGATCTACTCCAGGTGTCACTTCTAAACCAGTTGTCTGCACTAGGAGATTAAGATACTGTACTGCCTCTTCTGGGGCACATATGTCATTTTGCACACAAAAGCAGTCCATGCTGACAGTACAATTTTTGTGGCTGTAAGCTTATGCCTGCCTTCCTGGGAGTGCTATTAAAATTCAGAGGGAGTAAAGCTGCCTATGATTTGGTTGCCAGTCTAAGACAGTAGTGTTTGGCTAAATATACTTGTCTACTTGCCTTGATCCACTTCTCCCTGCAAGTGATGAGAAATCATCCTACCTTACCCACCCACACCTCCAAAATTTAGTCCTTGCAGGAATCAAACAACCTGAATATTACTTCGAATAGACAGAAAAGACAATGTTCTCCTCAATGGCACTACACATATTGTGAGATGGTCCTACACTGCTGGAGGAAAAAACAGATCTCTCAAAATATTTCTTCTACTATTATCAATATATTCCTGCTTTTCTTTGTCTTGTAAGCAAGCTGTATGAGCTGCAGGTTATGACTACAGTATTGTTAACTTGTCTTTCAAACTCTTTTAGGATGGCAAGGTGATCCTCGTCCTCCATTATTACACTTCCTCTCTTCTGATACCAGCTTATTATGCCAACTAAATTGAATCACTCCTAGTTCTACTGCTGCATAGGGGCTGGAGAATGGAAGATACAGAAAAAGAACAGAAAGCAGAGGTACTGTATGCAATGCACAGCCCTGGATCACCAAGTGAATCCAAAAAAGCTTTTTTCAAACCTCCACACAGATGGGTTATCTTCATTTACTATGCCTGCCTTCTCCAACCTATACATCTAACACATATAGGGAGTGCCAAGCTAGAGGAAACCAACCACTTATCCTCTTATAGGCAAGTTAACAATCCACATGAAATTTATGAGTATAAAACTTTTGCCTCAATCATCTCCACTAGAACCATCTAAGCCAAGTACAGTGATTTTCATAGCCAAGAAGGAATTTGAATCAATGCCTCTATTAATCCAAAGTACAGTCACAGCCCTTCATATCCACAGATTCTTTAGCCACAGATTCAACCATCCACAACTTGAAAATATTCTCTGTGTGTGTGTATTCCAAGAAAAAGACCTTGATGGCATTTTATATATGGGACAGTATCCATGGATTTTGATATCCATGGGAGGTCCTGGAATGAAACCCCAGCAGATACCAAAGGCCCACTGAAGTTGGTATCCACAACATTAGAAGTTAATCAAAGGCAAGTTTTCCCTATGACTCCAAATCTCCACAATACTGAACTGAGGGGTTCACACATCCAACTCACAAGAAGAATCCCAATTTTCACATGATGGATTTCAGCTGTCATTTGTTTAGGAGTAATCTGTGGCAATATATTTGTTTCTTACTTCATTAGCTCTTCATCTAATGAGATGAAGAAGGTTGGAATACTGTGAGAAAATAGTTGTCAGTTGCACACAAATGACAATAGGATTGCCTGCATCAGTTGGACACAGGTCCGATTTATCAAGTCATGTGAAATTCAAGAATGTAAGTGGATGGAAATGGAAACACTTGGGATGCTTACAAAATATTTCAGCAACAATTGTCAGTGAGTGCAGAATACCAGACAAGGCCTGATAAGAGTATACAAAAGACATGCAGCTCATTTTCATGTCCACACAGAACACATCCTTACATAACTGGCTAAGTGGAGCAACACAGAAATGTTTTCAGAACATCATTTTGGAAGCAAAGAGCACTTCAATATCCTTAAGAATCCTTTACACAAAAAGAGTACAATATCTTTTTAAAGTCTTCAAGATCTTTGAATAAAATGACAATTTCAAGTAAGAGGCATCACGTAAGTAAAGTATTTGGAAACTACACTGATTCTGAATAATATATCCAGGGGTAGCAGAATGTGCATTACCTTATTGCACCAGTCTCCCTTTCTGGCATTTACTTCCTGCCCCTTTTCAAGAAAACCCACATGCCTTCCTCTCCTACCTATTTTCCTTTTGGCTCTCCTTTTTACCTCCTCATCTTTGCCCCACCCTTTCCCTTCCATACTAAAACACATGGAAACTGGCCACTTCTCCACACTTTACCCTGAAGTTATCAGCCTCCTTAGGTTTCATGCATCAAATGCATGAATCTTCCACCTCCCTCCTCCACCCCCAGTCTTCACACCTCTCTTCCTTCAGCCTGTCTCCTGGCATGCCTGGGATTCTGCCTTCTATGTCTTCTGTGTCTCCTGACACCCTCTAATCTCAGCCCTCTCTGCCACCACTGCCTCCAGTTTCCAGTCACTAGGTTATATCTTTTCCAAACAGATTCTACAAGAGCACCTCCTGATAGATTACCCCCCTCCCCATACCTCATTTAGCACTGGAACCATTGATCTAGAAAAGGAGCAAAAAGTAACTCAATCTGCACTCCTAAACAGATTTACCCAGGAGTTAATCCCACTGAATGCACTGAGCTTGGAAAAGTTACATTTTTTGGTCCACAACTCCCAGAATACCCCAGCCAGAATGGGAGCTGCTGCTCAAAAACAGTAACTTTCCCAAACTTTGGTTCTACTGAATCAGCATGCCTGACCCTTTACAAGAAAAGGGTGAACTCCATGATACTCTCACAATTCTAGACAGGACATAAAAAGAGTAAAATTTTATCTCTACCCAAGCAGTAGAGGCAATTAAAGAGGAATATAGTGCTGAAGGGTGATCAGTTAAAAGGATTCGGAGTGCAAAAAGAAACTTTTGATCTTTGTAAGGTGGACTGGATTCTTGGTGGATTATTTGTAATTAGTTGCAGAATGCCTGAAGAATTTAGGTAGATATCATAGCTCTTGACACACCCCTTTGGTCAGTAGAGCATTGACCTAACACAGCCTGGATTAAAACAAATTCTTAAGAGTGCTTTCCCAAGTGCAACTGATCAGGGAACAGAGGAATGCAAACGCCTCCCTTACAAGCAAATTTTGACATACCCCAGCACAGGAAGGCACAAGGAATAGACAGATATTATCATAGAAAAGCTTGCATGTGGGACTAGAGAGACAAAAGACACAGAGATAAAGGATATTACTGTCTGTCTTACAATCATATTGCCAGTGCCTCAGAACACCAAAGATTCTTGGCTTGCATTTTAAAGTCATCACATTTCAACTTCTTATGAGCACAATTCAATCAATGGTGACCCAAGCACAGCAACACAAGAACAGAGCTGTATTGACTAGCCCCAATGTTGCATGTATTTATTAGCACCTGTCCTGGAGTGTGCACCTATACTGCAAACATCTAAACACCTACGGCACACGGGCTGGCCCCCCAAGGCCTTTGGACTGGCCCCCGCCGACACCGACCCCCAACACAGCCATGCGCATTGCGGCCACCATTTTGTTTTCCAAAATGGCGGCTGCGACTTGTTCACGCATGCGCAATACTCCTGCGTATGTGCAAACGAGCCATGTCCACCATTTTGTTTTCCAAAATGGCGTCCGTGACTCGTTCACGCATGCACAGTACTCCTGTGCATGCGCAAATGAATCGTGGCTGCCATTTTAGAAAACAAAATGGCGGGCGCAACATGTGCAGTGGTGGTGGCGGGGGCTGCGGCATTTCCCCACCACCACTATCGGCCCGCGGAAGACCCAGGGATCCCTGGCCCGGCCCCAGGTAAGGGGAACTTGCCAACCCCATATCTACTGTGTGTGGACATGACCTGTCTCAGCAGAGGTTTGCACTGCATTTAGACATGCCAGGAACAAGGACTACCTGATGTACAGATTCCATGGTCAGGTTCAGTTGACATGGCTATACTTCCTGCTCTTATGCTGTGCTACTATCAGAGCTATAGAGTAGTGTAGTGTAATGGTTTGAGTGCTGGACTATGACTCTGGAGACCAGGGTTCAAATTGCTGTTCAACTATGGAAACCCACTGACTGTCATGGGGCAAATCACATTCTCTCAGCCTCAGAGGAGACAAAGGAAAACTCCCTCTAAGCAAATCTTGCCAAGAAAAACCAGATAGCTTCACCTTAGGGTCACCATAAGTCAGAAAAGACTTGAAGGCCCACAACAAAAAGAATATCAAAGCTAGAAGGAACAGTTGCCAGTGGATAGCCTCAAATTAAGTAGCCTGAATTGCAAAATGGTTGCAGGCTGAAAAGTATCTGCTAAGAGAAAGACATAAAGGCAAAACAGGAGTCATGCAGCCCTCCAGATACTTTTGTACTGCAAGTCCCAGTAGACCCAGATAACATTAGCAATGGGGAAGAATGCTGAGAGCTGAATCCAGAGGGCTGTGCAATCCCAAGTCTATCTTAAAGGGTCTTAAATAACCCTCCTAAACACCTAATACTATATCAATTTGTAATGACGTAATTTTTTTAAACCCTAGGAGGAAAAAAGGAGAAACGTATTACAAAAAAGACAACACATTTAAAGTTGCTAAATGCATGTCAATTGTCTTAAATGTAGCAATGTTAAGACCTGGGGATGAGGAATACAAAAAAAATAAAACTTTTTTTAGGGGGGAGAAATTGTTTCCTCCCCATCCCCCAACCTTATTTTTTGGGATAAAAAAATGAAAAAAGGGATTGTGGAATATTTTTAGAAAGATAAATGAAATGTTTAAGACAAGATATTCATATTTCCCCCTCTTCATTATTTCTAAAACTTATGCAAGCAGATAGACTTTTATGTTAGATAATGCACAGCTGAACTACTCAAAATGGCTTTCCATAGACAAGTGCCACTGTGCCAGCTACCATCTGCCAGCCCATAGAAAGTTTTCAGGAAAGACAGAAACAATGGATGCAACTATGGTACTGGACCCAGGCCCCCTAGGTAGGACAGGGGAGCCTATTCCCTACATAAGATATCCTAAACCTAAAGCACTGATATACAGTAACAGATCACTTCAATTCCTAGTTACAGCTCTCAGTATGTTTGATGAGAATGAGTGCTTTGTGTCTGCTCGACTATTGAGGACTGGAGGAGAGAAAATAAGTTTCTTTGTTTTACTGAGTTGATAATTTCCTCTCTTCTTTTTTAAAAAAATTATTTTCATAAACTGGCAAAATCCCTTATTCAGATATTCATTATAATTCAGGATTTTGTCGCTCTATTTGTAAAAAATAAACAAATTTTTAAAATAAAATATTAAGCATTTTAAGAAGTAAATTCATTTTAATTATTTTCTGAATAAACTGTAATTTTAACATACCAAGCATGATAATTTTATGTCAAACCAAGTTATGTGTTAGACATTTTTAATGTTCGTAAAGGAAGAACATTGCTTTTAAGCTGTAAAGGATGCTAATATTGCATTTAAAAATATTTCCAACATTTTTTTTGGGGGGGGGGTCCCCCCATGGCCTCCTAATTTGTAGACATTTTACAGCTTTACTGAAATGTACAATTTATTCCCATTTCAGACTTTAGCTGTCCACAGACCAAGACCTTTAATTGTGTGGGGGCTGGGTGTGTGTGAGGTGGCTTTTGATAGAAAGACTTGCCAAGAGCTTTCATTTGAGGCTATAAATGTGGAGACCATCACAGAAGAGGAGTTTTCATTCCGCAGGAAGCAGCTATGCATCGTCCTTATTAAAGTAACAGAGGTTTGGATAAAGACTCAGCATTAAACAAACTGGGGTCAAGGCTTGGTAGAGAAAACCTGCTGGGCTCGGGGGGGGGGGGGAAGACATTGTTAAGAAGGCTTCTGAGTCCTGTCTGTAATAAATTAATGAAAAGAGGTTACAAAGACCCACCACCGACTTCCCCTCATAATAAGAACACCCAGTTTGTATATGCATTTGTGTCTCTCTGTGTGTATTGCAAGACAAAGTGTTCTAGTTTCCTGGGGACATTTCCTTCCTGGAACCAGCCATGGTGAGAAATATCTCCCTGCTCCCATTCTTCTCCAGGCTGGAACATATCCAAAAGCAGCAGCTTTTGACCACAGCAAAGCTCCTCATTTTGCACTGTATGCATTCTCAAGTTCTAAAATGCCCAGATTGGAGAGACCCAGGCTGAGAGAGGGTCCCCTTTGCTCTCCAGCTACGCTTCAAGTAACTGGAAAACAGATGAGGGCTGCTGCACTACCGCTACTAAAACAATTGAGCTTTTTCTTCTTTGCACCCATACTACTCCAGGCAGTACTCTGCCTGAAAAATCTATATGTTAAATTGCAAGGTCCGGAAGAAATTTGAAGGTCACCCACTGTAAACTCCTACAATGATCAGAAATTTACACAATATCGACATATAAATCCAGTTTAAAAACTGCTAAAAACCTTAGCCAGAACAATCCAGATTACGGTTCAGCAGAAGTGATCGTTGTTTCAGAGCAGCATGTTAGACCAAAGAAAGTTTGCTAAAAGACACTTAAGCTGTGTACTGAAGTATGCTTGACAAAGATTAACTCGCTCAATGCTCTTTAATCCATTTTGTAGCACTCACAGTGTGATTAAGCAGTGGATTTCTCACTAAACCTTTTCACTGCATGCATGCCTACGCACTATGTGTGTCTCTACAGGTCTCCGGGAAGTGCCATGTGGATGCTTTTCTATAGATGTATGCAAAGGGATCTTGCAGCACCTTTAAGACTAACTAAAAGATAGAAGCTTGTAGACTTGAGGCTACTTCCTCAGATTTTATGGAGTGGTACCAGATGGTGCAAGCAAGCTGGCACTCAGGACAGAGAAACAATAGTCCCTTGCAGCTACAGGTGGGAAACATAAGCTCTGGAGCCTATGGGATCAGCACATGGTAGCAGAAAGGGACCCAAAGAAAGAACTTCTTCCCAGGGTGACCAGCTGTCCTAACCACAAAGGAGGACTAGGCACCATAAAATGCAGGACATTCAAGAAAAAGGTAGGACATGGCCAAAGAAAAGCTCAAAACACTCACAGAAATGTAAACTCGTGCTTCTTAGCCATGCTCCATTACATTTCTGTGCGTGTTTTGAACTTTTCTTTGGTCATGTCCTAACTTTTTGGAATTGTTCCTTTTTGGACAGAAATTTTGGAAATTCCTCCTGGGGAGAAGAAGGTTGAAACGCAGGCCATGCCCTGGAAAATGAGGACCAAGTCTGGTCACCCTGCTTCAGCCCCTTTCTCTTCCCCACCACCAGCTTTTCCTGGAGAGGCAGCATTCAGTGTTAGTCTATAGAATCAGTCTGTAGAGAGATCTTGTAGCACCATTGAGACTTAACTGAAAGAAAGACATTGGCAGCATGAGCGTTCATAGACTTCAGTCTACTTCCTCAGGTGCATTTGGAGAGGCAGGATTAAGGGTCCTTCAAGCAGAAGCAACTTGGGATTTCCAAGGCACTTCCAAAGCAAAGAGGGCAGGGGAAGGTTTTAAAAGGAGAGAAGGAGAAAAAGACTTGCACAGACAATGGATCCGATGCCCTCCTTCCTTCCTTCCTTCCTTCCTTCCTTCCTTCCTTCCTTCCTAGGGCTGGGAGGAAAGCAACCCAGGGAGGCCAGGAGGAGAAAGGCAGGCCAAAGGGCTGGCTTTGCAAATGCCACCAAGTCGCCTCTCTGGCGAGGACCGGACTTTTGAGCCCCCATCCTCCCTCCCTCCAAATCCGGAGAGGCTCCGGTTCTTTGCTCCGCTTGGCTCAGGGGGATCGGATTTGACCCGGAGCCTCTCAAGGATGGAAAAGATGCCCACTGCCCAGCCGGGATTGGGGCGAGTGCCCTACTCCATCATTGTTTCTGGGGGCCCCAACTGCGGGCCCTTTGGGGGGAGGGAGCCGAGGAAGCAAGGCACACTCTCTCAGCCTCAGGGGAAGGCAAGGGCGAGCCTCCCCCGAACAAACCTTGCCAGGAAAACCCCACAGAACCGCCATCAGTAGGCACACATCACACATCACACACACACACAGACACGACTCTGGAGACCAGGGTCTGAATCCCGGCTCGGGCATGGAACCCTTGGTCGCCTTGGGCAAGTCACACACTCTCAGCCTCAGGGGAAGGCCAGGGCAAACCTCCCCTGCGCAAATCTTGCCGAGAAAAACCCATGATAAAGAAGGTCGCCAAAAGTCGGAAAGGACTTGGAAGGCCCACAACCTTCCCTCTTTCCCTCCCCAGGAAGCTCTTCCCAGGGCAAAGGCACGCCGGGGGGGGGGGTCCTACTAATGCAGGGTGACCACTAGGCTTGGCCCTCCTTTCCCCGGACACGTCCTCCTTGTCAACCCCCCTCTCCAGGAGGAGTTCCCAAAAGGTCCTCCATCACTTGGAGCCTGCCTCAGAGGCATGGCTATACATTGCTAGGAGGGTGTCCCTCTTTGCCTTTGGCCGCGTCCTCAGTCCTTCTCCGTTTTGGGGGTGCCTGGTCCTCCTGGTCCCCTTGCTACCTGTGGGGAGGAATAGGACCCGGGGCTCGCCTTTCCTCCTAGCCTCCCGATACATCCCTAAAGAAAGACCCGACAGTTTCGCGGCCCCTGGGGGCTTGCCTGGCTAGATGCTGTGGGTTCAAGTCCGGACGCCCCGCTCTGTGCCCCGGCGCAGGCTGCTCTCCTTGCTCCTCCTTCTCCTTCTCCTTCTCCTCCTTCGCTTGGCTCTGTCTCCTTATCTCCCTCGCCTCCTCCTCCTCCTCCTCCTTCCCTTTGTGTCTTCAGAACTAGTTTCAACTGGTCACATGTGGACCCACAACCTTCCAGGCGAGGCGGACCCTGACGTCACACGCCCAGCTGGCAAGACCCCCACAGACCCAGACCCAGACCCAGACCAGACCCAGACCCACAGCCAGACCTCCCTCCCTCCTCCTCCTCCTCCTCCTCTTTCCCGCCTTCTTCCCCTCATGGAGCAGCGGAGGACAAAAGGAGCCAGCAGAAGCCAGCCTTGCCTCCCCAAGTTGGCCAGGCCCAGGGTGACCAGGGGTCCCCACCGCAAAAGGGAGGAGGGCTTTCCAAGA